TATTGTAACAGCATTGACACATTCAATAACAATTTCCAGAGCTAAGATGCATGTCTTTCAAAATTGGCTGTAAAATTTTAGGTTTACAGTTGAAGTAATACAGGCATACAATATTGTACTCAGCATAAACCCTATAAGACATAAAATTAAATGAGGTTTTAACCTTTAAAAAAGATCTCTATTTCATGGCCAGGCATGGTGGTGCACACCTTTAATCCCAACACTTGGGAGGCAGGGGCAGGCAGATCTCTGTGAGTTCAAGGCCAGCCTGGTCTACATGGTGAGTTCCAGGACAGCTGGGGCTACAGGGAGACCCTGTCTCAAAAAGACCAAAAAAATCTCTATTTCATTATTAAAATACACAGTTTCATACAGAAAAAAAATTTTTTTGGACCAGACTTGGACATTCTGCAGACTCTTAGTCTCTACACTTCGGCCATTTGGGACCTTTTGTGTTCTTGGCTCTCTGTTGCATGAGGGAGCTTCATTAATGAGAACTGAGATATTCATTAGTGTCCTCTTTACCCCTTGTTCTATGTTCTGTGAGCCTTAGGTGTAGAGGTTGCACTGTAGATGTGCCACTTAGACTTGGGTAATTCACAGACACTGTGTGTGCCCAGTTGTGGTACTCTGTAATAGTCTCTGTCTGGTGCAAAAGAAGCTTCTTTGATGAGTGGTGACTGGGATATTTGTTTGTAAATATAAGGATACATATTTTGCACATAGTAAGAAATTACATTAGTCTAGGAATGTGACAGCCTTGGGGTTTTCTCTAAGATCTTTGACCTCTCCAGCCGTGTGTATTTGGCTATGTTTATAGTACCACACATGAGTTCCCTCCCATTGAGTGGGATTTAAGTCCAATTAGGTAGGCGTTGCTTGCCCCCAATATAAATAGTGCCACTACTACACCAATGTTGTATGCTGCGCAGGTCATTGATGTGGTTATTTATTCTTGAAGCTGATGTGGGGCCATCGATTGATATTGTCCCTTAGCACCTTGCATAGTGCTTTCCAAAACTATGATAGCTAGCCTCCAGGGGAAATGGCTTCCTGGTCAGTTCCAGCTCCATTGCTCCAAATCCTGTGTCCAAATTATGTTCTGTCTTCACCAATAGGGTCTTAACTTTAAGTTCTGAGAGACAATCAAGGGCTGTGGCAATAGCCTGTGTAATTTGGGGGGGATCTCTTGGACCATCTGGCCAGCAACTCAAAGGAAGGTTTCTCCTGTCTGGCACTGTTTCTTATTATGCAAACTTAGGTATACATATGGACTTATTTAGAAATATTGTGTATATAATTTGTCATTAGATTATTGATCAAATATGATTTCTGGTTTTCTGCACTAGCTAGGCATTATTTATCCCTCTCTCCCTGTCTAACTCTTGCACCATCACTTCCCCATCTTAAGTGTCCCTTTTCCCCCATTTCTCCCTTAATAATACCGTCTCCTATGGTCCCACTTCTCTTGAGCTCATTCTTTCCCTTTATCTTCAAAGTTCCTTGTATAACCCTCATTCTCCCTCCCGTTTAAATACCCCCATTTTATCCATTTCTCCCTTAGTAACACCTGACCCCTACTGCTCTTCTCTCTCAGATTCCTTCTTTCCCTTTACCTCACTGGTTCCTTTCCATTTTCCTGGCTCCTGCAGTTACATCAGGATACATATTCACATATAAGGATTTGGTGCTAGGATCCACATGCGAGAGAGAACATACCTTGTTTGTTTGAGTTTATGTTACTTCACTTAGTATAACAGCTTCTAGTCCTATCCATTTACCTGCAAACTACATGATTTCACCTTTTCTTTTTTCTTTTTTTGTCTTTTTGAAACAAGGTTTCCCTATAGCCCCAGATGGCCTGGAACTCATAGAAATTCACCTGTCTCTGCTTCTGCAGTCCTGGGATTAAAGGTATGTGCCACCACGGTGGATGATTTCATCTTTCTTTACCACTGAGTAGAACTCCATTGTGTAAACATACCACATTTTCATTATCCACTCATCAATTGAGGGACACTTATGTTGCCTCCATTTCTTAGCTATTGTGAAAAGAGCAGCAACAAGCATGGATGTACAAGTATCTCTGCAATAGGATGAGTCCTTTGGGTATATGCCAAAGAGTGGTATAACTGGGTCAAATGGTAGGTTCATTTTTATATTTTTAATAGTTCTCCACACTGCTTTCCATACGAGTTGCATAAGTTTGGAATCCCACTAGCAGTGAATGAGCATTTCCCTTTCTCCACATCCTCTCCAGCATTTGGTATCATTTGTTTTTTGATCTTAGTATGACTCGGGTAAGATGAAATCTTAAAGTGGTTTTAATTTCCATTTCCCTAATTGTTAATGATATTGAACACTTTTTGGGGCGGTCTTTTTGAGACAGGGTCTCCCTGTAGCACCAGCTGGCCTGGAACTCACTATGTAGACCAGGCTGGCCTTGAACTCACAGAGATCCACCTGTCTCTGCCTCCCAAGTGCTGGGACTAAAAACATATGCCACCACACCCATGAACACTTTTTTTTTGTCTTTTTGAGACAGGGTCTCCCTGTAGCCCAAGCTGGCCTGGATTCGCTGTGGAGACCAGGCTGGCCTCGAACTCACAGTGATTCACTTGCCTCTGTCTCCCAAGTGCTGGCATTAAAGGCATGTGCTACCATGCCCGGCCCAATGAACACTTTTTTAAACATATTTTTAAAAATATTTTATGTTAAGAGTCCAAGTCTGCAGATGACCCTCTCCCAGTGTAAAAAGCCTCACAAAACAGGCCATGAGGGCCCCCTTGCATAGCAGGAACTGGCCAGACAGCTACATTTAGAGCTGTCTCAGCACAAAGCTGTAACCCAGATAATTTTGTAAGATAAACAGGTCCCTTCACCCAGACCAAATGATGTAAGAGCTGTCTCAGTTCAAGCTACTTCCCTTGAAACTAAAGATTATTTTTGCCACCTTCCACATTCCCCAACCCCCGTATAAGAACTTCCTCAGCAGTCAGCAGGCTGCTGGTTGCCTTTCTCTCCCCAGCTGAGCTGCTAGCCACCAGCAATCCTAAGAAATAAACTTTGCTTTACTGGAGTCCTCCTATGCTTCCTGTGGCTATTCCCTGGCAGGCTTTTATCCAACATTTTATTATTTTTATTTTATGTGTACAAGTGCATTGCCTGCATGTATGCGAGTGCACCTGTGTCGTGCAATGCCGCAGACATCAGAAGAGGGCCTCAGATTCCCCTGGAACTGGAGCTAAGGACAGTTCATAGCCGCCATGTGGGTGCTGGGAACTGAACCCGGGTCCTCTCCAAGAGCAGTCAGTGCTCTTAACTGATGAGCCATCTCTCCAGCTCCCCATGAACACTTTTTACTTTAAAAAATTATTGAGAATTTTATATATGCATATAAGGTGTTTTGGTCAAATCCATGCCCGTTCCCTTACCTCCAACTCCTCCCATGTCTCCCTATCACTTTTTCCTGAACAACTTCACATGCTTTTTTTTTTTTTGTTTTTTAATCATTATTTTTTTATTTTTTTTCATACAGAAGAATTCATTCCAAAGCAATTGACATTGAGACGTTTTCACATGCATTTCTAATCTCTATATACATGACTATCACTGGTCACAGTCGCCCACCTTCTGAGCTCCTCGGCATCTGAGCATGAATACAAACTCGTCAGATAGACAGCCTTCCTCTCCCACTAGAGGCTCCATACTCTGCCATCCCTGTCCACTCTGACACTGTCCACTGTGTCAGCACCCTCATCCATTCCCCCTGTCTGCCCTTCTGCTAAATCTAGTCAGCCAGAGGTCCCTCTTCCAGGAGGGTCAGCTGTTCCTCATCTACGGCAATCCATTGTCAGTATTCCTTTGGATAGAATTGGGGTCTGCTGTTCATTTTTCCAGTAGTATGTTGGGTTACTGTCTGGAAGAGCCTTAAACTATCCTAGCCAACAACTCGACTGAAGGTATCGCCTGTCTGGCTTTG